ATGCGTTCACAAATAAAGGTAATTTTTTTTCTGAGACCAGGCTTTTGCTTTTTTGTCTGTTCTAAATCCGCACCAACGTTTGTAGGTGTGCGGGATTTAAAGTAAAGTTTTGGGCATCAAAGGGCTAAGCATTTAAATATACAATATTTAAATTTAGAGTGAACACGAAGCAAAAAGATTCTAAGGTGGATGAATGCATTCACTTTGTTATGAAATTTAATCATTTAGCTGCTTATGACATCGCACAATAATTGGAGCCCAGAAAACATACCAGCATAAACCAGAGCGCATAGGAACTTTGGCACGTTCACACAGGGCAGAAGACTAGTGAGAACGATAGAAGTTATGCTGACAATATTTAATGGCTACGACACAGTACATCAAGCCCAATATACGCAGGGACGTAAATTAATTTTAACGTACTTAGTTACCCAGAGGGGACTAGGAGTGTGGATTCTGCTAACAATGTCCAATTACTAATATGACCAGAGGACACGCCTCACGGTAGGCAGTTTTCTCTCGTTTTTTTCTGGTAACTTCATTTACGCGGTTGGTGCGCGCCGCGGCGCCGTTTTACACGCGCTTATTTTTTCGCTAGTAGCAGCGGGCGTGCTGGAAGCGGGCCGTGGGCCGGGCTCCAATGGGAGGACCGCAGCCAGTCACGGGCCGGTCAGAAGACCTCCGCCGGCCGGATTTGGCCCGCGGGCCGGGGTTTGGAGACCCCTGGTTTAGACCAAAAAACGCAGACTGAGTTGTGACATTAAGCAATGCAAGCGTGACGTTTTGCATTGCTTAATGTCACAACTCAGACTGCGTTTTTTGGTCTAAACATGTGCTTCGGCATTGTCATTCGCTGAGCTGCCTCCGTAAGTTGTGCTGATTGGCTCTCCGAGTGTTGTGCGGGAAAGCAGACTCACGGGCTTTTTTTTAGAGTGCTGCATGCAATGAGGAACCGTGAAAAAGATCATGTATTGAGGTTGCCAAATGGGACTTCTGCTAAATAACTGAAACACCGAAGACGCGCTCGCCCTGCTGTCAACAAAAAAAAAAAAAAATCTAAGGGATTGTAGAAAACAAGGCGGTGACTAGTGCACGTAAACATTGCCATTTGTTTGAGCGTTTTACTTCAGAAGCTACTACTGCAGACGCCAGCACATGCGGCGCGTGTAACTAAAGGGAGTATTCACTAGATGTCATATTTGTGGGTGCTGTTTAGAGCGCATGCTCAGAACGAACTCACGTCAATAGGCTGCTAAGACCGGCAATCTTGACGGTGCGGAATGCAGGTTGCAAAAGCACTGTGAAAGCTCGCCATCAGCACGCGCTCAGCATTCACGCACACAGCTATGGCCGCCAGTGAATACTCCCTATACATATAGAAACTCATTATGCTCCTCGGTGTTCCGCAAAAGTGCCGGGTAACACAGAAAAGGCGAAGTGAATTTTTAAACCTTTCGCGCAGAGAGGAAAAAAAAGTGGGGAGAGGACAGCGGTGCCAAACTGCCAGACTCGTACTGATGATGGCGACTTCCACGCCGATGATGGCCAAAACCGCCAGGTAACCTAATTACTACTTTTGTACGTGTGTGTCTGTTTTTATTTTAAGTTCCAGCTTCTGATACGATGCAAACTTTTTAGAAGAATTTGTTCTGAAAGCTACAGATGGTAGCGAAAAAGCTAACCGCGAAGAAAATCTCTAACTGTGAGAGCTTTCCCATTACAGTAATTGCCGCGATGAAGTACATCTCGCGCAATATTCGGGTTAGCGGACGAAACACTTAATTCATAATGACCTTTCGCTCCCCGGTGACGCACAGCTACACTGCCCACGCCTACCGAGCTGTTTTCACACATCGCTGGAACAATTAACTGTTTCTTTCTCGACGTGATACGAATATGTTGATTGCTCCGTCCCCTTCGCCTCCGACGAACCCGCTGTTATCACAATTATATATTATACCATGTGTTCGCACATATCTCTTCTTTTTCTACTCACCAAAGCTATTATTAGCGGACTGTTGTGTGATGGGGGCATTCCCAGTTTCCGGCCCGGGGAAGTTTCCGGCGAGTGGGCGGTTGCCGAGTCGCCGGTAATCGCGTCGAGTGGACGCCGTGTACGCTCTTTGCACATTGAAAGCCGCAAGGAGTCCGATGACTCTTTGCGGCTTTCAACGTGCAAAGGTTGAGAAACACACGGGAAAAGACTGTTAGTCCCCTTTTCTGTGTACATTAGTCTCAGGTGTTTATCATCATGAATAGCCACAGCGTGTTGTCCTTGAATCCCGGAGAAAAGCTCACGAGAAAAAAGCCCATCGGAGATAAGCTCGCTCAGTTTTCTGCGGGTCCGGAGAAAATCTCACCAGTCTTTTGACAGACCCGGAGAAAAGCTCACCTCGAATTGAATTTGCATCTAAAGTGGTCGTCATCATTAGTAGTGCTACCAATGTTTTACCCGCTCTCACGCAGGTGGTACACTATGCAGCACAACTAGCGCGAGGCGATTTTTCGCATTTTACCTAGAGAAGAGTTAAACTTTTAATGCACAAGTTTGTCTCGAAAGAGCAATTTGCAGCGCAGTAGTAGTTTTAATGGCAAACACTAAAATGTAAAAATAAAAAAAGCCCATTCCTTGTTTATGTTGACAGTGTCACATAGTGCACACACTTCAGATCGGGTCGCACTACTGTAGGCGAAATAGCAAAAAAAAAAAAAAAATGAATAATAAAGAAATTATTATTATTTTTAATTTAAATCAGATTCATTTTATTTAAACCAGAATAATCTTATTTAAAATAATCACCGTAGCTAGGAAATATTGACTATTTATCATTATATGCATTTTCAAACATGGCAGATTGTTTTATCAATTTTCCTGATCAGTGAAAACAATGCGTAAAAACTAATTGCTCCAATTTTAACAACTTTTTGTTTGTGAAAACCTCGCCATACTAGAACAAAAACAGCTTAGCTTGTTGTTGGTGTTGGTTTTTGCTAGCGAAAAAGCTGTATTGGCTTTTTTTTTTCGCGATCTGATTTTCTAGCTATACGAGATTGCTTTCAAAGTTTTCGTTTCCATCTTTCGCGATTTGGTTTGATTGCAAAAATGATGTACCTAATGACGAACGAAATCGAAGGTAGAAATAAAGCTCAACTCATCGGCTTGCTCCGAAGACCAATGTTTTTTTCTCGTGTTCAGTCCAATATAAATCTTTATTGCGTGATGATTATTTGATTTAAATACATAACATATGCGCATACTCAAAGCCTCAAATGATGAACAATCAGTAATATATATATATACTTTTTTTTTTTTTTTTTTTTGGGGGGGGGGGGGAATTTTTGGGGGAAATGTTTCATTTAAAGCATCCTAGTAAAACCGGTTTGAATTAAATAATGATTTAAACGGTTATTTAAGGCATCTTAATTTTTTTATTTTCCACCTTGGCTGTAGTCTTTGTTCCGCTTTTACGTGAGGCCGTTTCGCGTGAGTGTTACCATATTTAATTCTGACGTAGCCGGGACAGAGGAAATATGACTTTTTATTTTTCAGTTCAAATAAGGTAAGAATTGAAACCACTGCTTATGGTGAAATGTGGAGATTTGGCAATGCAACGTCGGTATACTTCATAAATGGTCATTTTATAAATAAATATCCAGAAACCACTGAAGCTGCAGCCCTCCACACTAATTATATTTTCCATCGTTATCTTTTTATTATTATTATCATTCTAGGGAAATTATTTTTTCATGATTTAGCCTGACGTGTTACAGGACGTTTTCATATCTAAAAAAGATAATTCTCCTGGTGAGGTACAGAATGACAGCATGCGCGCAAGTTGAGTGAACGTAGTTCACTTGAGTCAACGCTCGATTCTTAGATTCGTAGGTGAGCTTTTCTCCGCATCCGTCAAAAGCCCGGTGAGCTTTGCTCCGCATCGGACAGTTTGGCGGTGAGCTTTTCTCCGCTGACCGTTGTCCTTACTCAAATTACACTATTGAAGACTCGCGTAATTTTTCCACAAATATCACCTTCAGAGCTCTCAAGTATCGCAGGTAACCGCTGGAGTGTCACAAAGCAAGAGTCACGAGATCATCACATACGTCTCACGTGGCAGCGAGTTTTCGCAAAACGGCCTGGGCCTATCTTTGCAGCGTGCAAAACGGAGGCACTGTGAGGGTGAACCTTCTCGTTAGAGCCTAACAAAAAAAAAAAAAAAATCAACATAATACTTTTAGGTGTGGTTGTTGTTATTGGAACACGCCGCAACGCTTTCAGATATGAAAGGAGGAAGACAGAAAATCCCTGTAAGCCATTTCAACATTGTGCGATGGGCAATTCATCGCTTCGACAGGCACACGGGCACGCGATCGCGATACGCGCCTCCGCCAGAGATCTAAGAGGGCTCGTGAGTGTTTCCGTTTCACACAATCTTATCTACATTCTTAAAGAGGACGCGGACTGATAGAGTCGGGCCCGTTTACACGGCATTCACGCCACCGGTTAAGACGACGGCCAACACGTACCGCGATGTTGTCCCTCGTTCTTTGCTTGCTGGATCCTCTTATGTCACGTTGCGGTTATCCTTACCTTTATTAGTTTCGGTGTGCTGGATATGTTTCCGTTCTTCTCGGGTGTGGACGATACGGACAAAGGGTACCAGATTGACTGTTTTACTGGCACATGTTTCTTTTTTTTTTCTTTTTTTTTTGTGGAAATTTAGGCCGGACACTTCCACGTCAACAGACTACTGTATTCGCTCTCGCGATCGGCACGAATCTAGATAACAGATTATGCTCTTGCAATTCGATAACATAAGACCTCTCTCCCTCTCTCGCCGTGCGTCCGTTTCTGGCCCATCCACCTCTTTAGTTTCTAGATATGGGTGGCACTCGTTGAACGAACGAATCGACATTTCATCGAAAGACGGGGGAGGAGGGGGGGGGGGGGGGGGGGGGTTAACACGCTAAAACGCTAAAACGTCGATTCGCTTAAATTATCGCTGTTCGCTGTCATTCGCTCATGTGATATGGACTTCGCGTGATGTGTGGCGGCTGGTACTTTGAGATGACGATGGATCACCGGAAATGTTAATTAATATATATATATATATATATACATAAGTTTACGACGGGAGTCTGACGGCACAGAGAAGGAATGAAGACTAATTTAAAAGTTCCCCTGTGGATCTTTCGACACGCATCCCAAATCTCAGCTAAACGGCGTCTTCGCCGAAATACTGTCCGCCCAACTGCAGCCGGGATTTGAACCTGCCAACAGAGAATCCGGAGGCCGGTACTTTGCCTCGAAGGCGGCTTTCGTCGGTCAGTTACTGACCATCTGCAGCTGCCAGCCAAAAATGCAGCACGACAGACCGCAATCGAGAGCGAAATGTACAGCGTGACACATTTAACACGAACAAAGGATCGCCTGCTTTTCTCTCACAACTGCAACGCTGTCAACAGTCAAAGCTACCACTATTAGGGTGGAATGTGCTCGAGGTGGTCAAACTTGCTCGGCAGAGTGCCCTGTCTGCGTAACATGCGAAAAAGCGCCGTTGCCGTGTTCGCGCTAACAGCGTCGCTCAATGTACGTGCTCCTTGTGCGCAGAAGGTCCCTTCGCGCGTTTCCCTTTATTCTCCCCCAAAGACGTCGGAAGCCCGGCGGCAGCCACGTGGCCAGCCCGGACGCTCGGTGGCCAGAAGACGTACCCGCGGGCGTTGCCCCGTCGCGGGTTCCCCCGGCGGCGGGCAGGTGATCGCCGGGAAGGAGGGCGAAAGGGGCCGACCTGCGGTGGCCGTCGGAAGCGACGTTCACGCGAAGCGATTGCGCCGGAGGCCAGGGCATGCGGGCAATCTCGCCCTCCCGGGTCAGAACCCCCCGCAGGTGCGCCCTTCCCCCGAGGGCGGACGATCCAGCGGCTCGCGGGACGGGAAGGCCGACGCAGCCGCCCAATCGGCCTGGAAGCGGCCGCACGGGCGCACACGAAGCGTCCGCCGTCGCAAATGGCAACTGGAAACAGCCGAACGGAAAGGGAGCGGCGGACCGACCGTTCCGAGAACGACCCACCGCCTGACGGGAAGGGGCCCGGCCGAGAGGCACGCCGTCGGCGCGCCAGTCGCTCGCGCGCGTCCAGGGAGAGTGCTCGTCCAGGGGACCGTTTCCACGGGCGCCAGAAAACGGGGCACGCGCCTGTTGCTCGGCTGCTGGTCCGGCGATGACGGCGGCCGCCGCGACCGTTCACCTTGGCTCCAGAAGAACGACCAGGTGAGCCCTCGGACCCATCCTCGGTCGGCCACTCCGCGATCACTCGCCACTCGGCGAACCAGTGCTGCGCGTGTCATGGGCTAACCGCAAAGGCTACGAAGGCGAGCGTGTTGCTTTGACTGGTGCTCCCGAGGTGCGATCAAACGCGAGGGGCTCGCGCTCGTAGCCTTCGCGGTAGACGTCCAGCGTCGGTGCTGTCCACTTGACCCCAGTCAGGGACAGCAGCGGCGCCGGAAATTTGTTTCGAGAGGTTTCGGGATTTACTGGGCCTCAAGTGTGTTGCCGTTGCTAGTGCATCGTGCACCGTACTAATACGAGCAGCATCGAAGTTCCGTCCGGGATTCGGGACGGGGGAAGAGTTTGACCACGAGTATTCCCCTGTCCCCTTCTTTGGTGCGGCACAGGTATTTGATGCATTTTAGGTGTAGTGCTATAGCGTGACAGGTCAGTGCGTTGGCTGGTTCGCAAGTTAGCAACTGTTGACGCCGATGTACTTCTGACAGTTGGTCGTGGTTCTGACATGCGCGGTGAAGGGGGGTACTCTTGCCTCGAAGCTATCCGCGAGATGACTGGAAACTTAGGTCACCTCCGTCTTGGTCTTCTAAAGAAGGCACCGAGCGTGACAAATGGCGGTGCGGGAACCGGGCGGATATCTCGTTCACAACCGCGACATATCATATCCCCAGGAAATAAAGTGCGCATGTTGCGCGCTTGCTCAAGTTCACCCGAGTTCGTAATGCCACTTGTCGCTGTTATTGTGCGCGATAAAGGAAACGGAAAAGAAGGAACTCTAGAACAGCGGAGGTGCTTCCAAAGTATAGATTCGAAACTGCTCGGCACCAAGCTCTTTTACTGCTCCAAAGTTCGTTTTGAAATTACATCTGGAATGAAAAAAAAAAAAAAAGAAAAAAAAAACGTTATTTGATTATATAGCGAATCGAGCTGGACTTTATTGTTACAAATTTCACTGTACGTACAGAGAGCGACACTGTTAGCGCGAACAAGCGATCGCCGGTTTTTCCAGTTTTTCTCTTTGAAACCAAGGGATGTCATCCAAGTTATTATTGCTACGGAAAGAGCTCATTTAGTTCTATAATGTAAGCGATAAAATTTCGTGCTCTCTAATACTACTTAGAAGTAAAATGCGAAAATGCGCCGATGTCGTGTTCGCGCTAACAGTGTCGCGATGTGTATGCATCTTGTGCCGCCAGTGAACATACATATTTTAAATGTTTGCTCATTTTAAGCTTTCCGAGCTACACTTCACTCTGTGTACTACCTCAACAGTGTCATCCGGCCAAATCTAGCCTATTCGGATGGACCGAAAATGCTGCGAACAAGCGACAAATTTCGCACCGCGGCGTTCGCTCTGCGGTCCTCTGCCCGCGAGTCCAGAGCAGCGGCAGAACCGCCGCGCGCCAGCGAACGTGCCGCCGGGCGCAGTTCGTCGGTGATTTGCCGCATATTCGCTTCACGGAGCTCATTCTCTAACGATTGGTTCGACCCTTTGTAGGTGTGTTTTGCTTCGAGCTTAAGTCATTGCTGTTTTACTGTGCTACCGCGCCCTCCACGACTTAGCAAACAATTCTTAAACGAACTCGATTGGCCAAAAGCTCATTATGTCGCCTTCATACTCCGTTTCACCTTATGTTGTACCACAGAGAAGGCTAGAAGCGCGAGCTGTAGCGATGGGAGCTGCTGTTAACGCTCGAGAGCTTGTGCCGACGAGATGTGCCCTAGAGCAAGGAGCTCGCGCTTGTAGCCTTTCCTGCGGTACAACACAAGGTGAAACAGAGTATAGTAGGATTACTTCTGCTTTAATCGATGGAAATGAAGGTTTTGTCAGAACGTCAGCTTTGACGGAGTTGATTTAAGGATGCAGCGACTCCAAACATTCACTGCGCTCTTTACATGCACCATCGAACTTGTGGTTCGCAGCTGATGATAAGTAGCAAGGATCACAAGCATAGAAGGGCGCCACCAAGGCATCTCGCCGCGATCAACGCACCGAGGGTCGATCTCCACCTGCATAAAGAATTGATCAACGCAGTGCCCTGGCCGGGTCCCCGGATCTTTGGTCCGTTAGGGGGTCCGCGTATCGGCTCTAAAAACACGTCATTTTGGCTAGTAGAAAGCGTCAGGCAGCGCGGAATATGCCGCAGCGCGCGTGCCGTACGCCCCCGTAATTGCGTGCAGTTGAACCTCAGCCTTCGCCAGTGCGCCCCGCAATGTAGGTTAGGGGCCGGCTCCCGAAGGGATGCTCAAGTTTCGCTGTGGCGCAGCCATCCGGAGAGGCGAGAGCAATTTCCCGAGGCCGCAAGGGGAGCCTATTTTCTCGGCCTTTGACACCTGGCGAGAGTGGTTTGTTCACCTCGCTGACCCTTCCCCGGCAAACACCCGACGACGGGCTCAGGAGGAAGGGCACACCGCTGCGAGAGTCGGAGAAATCCGAGACGTTTCCGTGTCCTGTGCGTTCCATCAGCGCTCCTGGTTAGCGTCGAGGAGGACGCGTTCTATGCTCCGGAGGAAGTTGAAAGAGAAAGACAACGCCGAAGAGCCGCCAGAGCCGCCACGAAAACAGCTTAAAACGCTTCCCCATAAGCCACGTGGCATTGACTAGCGAAGGCGATACAGGTTTAGAATGATTGACGCGCAAAATCGACGGGACGTCCTGACTTCTGCGCCAGCCACATCCTATAGAAAGCGATGGACGTTTGCGTAACGCACTCACCTACTGCATACTAAATATGAAAGGGTCTGAGCGTGGAGTTAGGTATGCCGAGGTGTTGTTCGATGGTCTATGAACGAGGTTCGCGTGAATCGCTTCTACGCACTGGTTGAGGCAGTTTTGACCTCGGACACGTTCTGTTTGGTCTTGGTAACTTACCGCCGAGCGGGACCGCCGATTTGAGGGAAATCTCTCTCCCCCTTAGTTCTTCATGGGAAAAAAAGAAATGCCTAACGGAAATCTAGGTTTTCCTCTTCAATAGTCGTGTTTTCCCTCCGAGCTTGAGCCCTCAGTCATTCTCAGATGGTTCGATTGCAACAGCTGAGCAACAGTCGCGAGCCCGTGACTCCTAAAACTGTACATTTGTACATCCGAAGCGTTGGACAAACCTCATCACAAAAAAGGCCCCACATTTCTAAATTGTACGCAATGTGACATATATATATATATATATATATATATATATATATATATATATATATATATATATATATATATAGCGTCACAATATAGGGACGTCACAGGGTATTTATGCTCGCCAAGGTTTTTATTTGTACATGACACATGAGAGCCCAACTACCCAGAACACAATTTGCAGCTCGAGGTTAGTTTTCTTGCCACCCGAAAACCGCCAATCGAGAACTGGCCGGTTTGAGCCGCGCTCACTCTCTTCTCCGCGGTCACGTGCCGTTTTCTATGGTTTAAAACGCAACCACCAAATATAATCAAAGTCGTGGGTTATCAAGGCACACACTCAATATTAAAAACGCCTTTTTATTTCCTCTTTCTCCCCAGTCCAGTTTTGGCTACGGTTCTAAGCAGTTTCGTTGTTTACTTTATTAAAAACATACTTGACGCTGTAGCAAAATATTGATTGAGTAGTCTTCTGACACCCATGTTAAATCGCCTCGCAAAAATAAAACAAAAAAATTGAGGGGGGGGGGGGGGGGGGGTGTCAGTGTCCTTTTAATGGTTGCACGCGATTGTAAGGATGCGAGAGAAATTTTGGAGCCACTATTCAGGGAACGTTGCCTTCTATAAGCGTGCACCAGAATTTCCCCGAAGCCAGAACAGTGCGCAGTGCTCTTCGGTGGTGTCGCACGGAGTCGGTGCAATACCGAAGACAAAGTACACTGCAATGCACTGCGTCAGTTGCGCCGATTAGATGCATCAATGGATGCATACGGTTGAGCCCTCTAAATCTGGCCGACAGTGAGCGCTATTACGCGTACCTCGCGTTTCTCACTGCCCGTAAGGGGTATTCACACGAGGGAGAAATCCCGGGGATTTCTCCCCGGCACGCGCGCATCACGAGATGAAAATGCGAGGCTTTTGCACATTGCAAAGCCTGACGTTTTCGTCGTGGGATGCGCGTGCCGGGGTTTTTTCTCCCTCGTGTGAATACCCCTTACAAGCTTTTCACTTTGAACATATCATATCAGATGAGCTCCTGGTCGCAATCCTTGTTGGGATTGCACCTCCGAATACCGTCGAATTTCTCGGTGCGCGTTGGGGCAACGGAAAACCGCACCGTGAATGTGCGCCCCGTTTATTGAAGACGTCCGGTGCGCACCGGTGCATTTCATCGAAGACGAGGGGGCGCACAGAGGGGGCGCACCTCGGCGCCCCGATGCGCACCGCGGTGCAGCAATCAAAGATGAGCATCTCTGTCAGACGCAGCCGACGCTACGAACTAATCGGATATATCGAGGAACGTCAAATGCGCAATTCACTGTGCCTTTTCTGTTCACGATTGGTTCAGCGACGCTAGAACACGCACAGAAACATGACGAACTCCATGATGGTGCGCTTTTGACACTGTCTGATTGGTCACATCAGCTCGTAGCGTCGGCTGCGTCTGGACTTCAGGTGAAACGAGGTACAATGTATTGCAGACGATGCGAAACTGGTCGAATGCCTAATCTGGGAGTTTTCCCACGTCGTACGCACGCACGTGTGTCGGGAGCCTTTCGTTTGCATTTGGCCCGTGATGCAACATCCGAAGTTGCAAATCGGCTTCACGTTGAATGACAAGCCGGGTTTGCAGACTGTCTGAGAACCTCCGATGCAGTCGGTGTAATTTTGCCGCGTGGAGCGCGGACGGGGACCGTGCCTGCCTGCTTGTCCAGACAAACGCGGCGAGCATTCCGGTAGCGCGGCAGGCGAGGGCTCGGCGAGGGGCTTTAGGCGCGCCTGGCCACTGGCTGTCCGTCTCGAAGCGTGGCGCAGACGCGTGCTCGCTGAAGCGTTTGACAGAAGCGAAGGAACCTTC